TGGACCACCCTAATGTACACATTACTGCATCTCGTATTTAATTTTGATCTCCCATACATACATACATATATAGATACATAGGTAAAGAAGACTCTCCTCTCCGCCCATTGACGTTTGTCTGAAAAGTAAAGGTGGGAAACGCTCAAACATTTTGAAGGATCTTTTGGCGTTCACTTGGAAGTAAATGTTTCAATTTGCTAGGCTTTGCATTTCAAATGTAAACCAAAACCATAAACCGCCAGAACAAAACGACCAGGCTACTTCATACGTCAAAATCAGCTTGATGATTATTTCAAGAAATGTGGTAGTGGGCTTCCATGTGGTCATCATGCATCGCAGAGTAACAAATAACATGGCCGCAATCAGCTCGTCTGGAAAAATGAACCAAATGTTTTCCCTGCTGACGGAGCTGCATCTGGAGAGACATTTTTGGCTCGCTTCCATTACGGCATATGTTCAGAGTTCCCTCCCTGCCTTCATGGTGTGTATTTCGCCTGTCCCTGAGCGTTTCCTTGCAGTTCGAGCACATCGTTCGTTTGCGCAACGTTGATACTAATTAATGTGTGCCACATTAATTTACATTTGGAGCGCAGCGTTGCATCCATTAACGTAGGGCAGTTGATATAAGTAAAAGGAAGAGTACACAGAGAAACACTCCTGCACTTACATACGTGTGCATCGACATGAAGGAGATAACATTTTGTGGAATTTACTGTATACGTACATTAGTATGCGCCTTATTTTTTTACTCTGTAACTTCAAAGCCTGAAGTGATGTGAAAATAAGGTATCCATATTTAAAATTAGCGCGTAAAAATACATTTAGTAATATTGAAACAAATAATGTTTTTTTTTTTACTGATTTATAGGCTATATTTTTCATTTGATGTAATTTTATAACCAAACGAGCCTATATAGCTTAAAATACAAAAATCTCCCCATATAAATAAGGCGCACACTAGTGTACATTAATATGAACAAATACACTACATACGAAGTCTCTTTTTTCAGAAGGCTCTAAATAATAAATTTTCTTAATTTTTGCATATAAAACGGTTTTGCAGCGGCGAATGTTTTAATTATTATATATATTATATTTTTTTAAGTGAAACTTATTTACGTTCGGCTGGGAATAAATTCAAACACCGATGCAAGGAAAAACAAACGACACAATCGTCGTTGGGCTCTAATTTCAAACTGCAATGAAACGAAAAAGCGACAGAAGAAGCGGTGGTTTTGTATACTTTAAGATCCAAGATTAAGATCAAGATTTTCATTAAGATTAAGATTTCGGAGATTCAAATTGGGGTTGGGGCTAAGATTCAGATTGGAATTGGGATTGAGATAAATATTAAGATTAAGAATGGGAGTGAGATAAAGATTAGCATTAATATTAATAATAAGATTAAGATTAAGAATGAGATTGCGATTTAGATGAATACAATTGTTCATTATTATGCAAAGAAATACTCACATAATATGATGAGCTACATAGCTACGGGTTATAGAAAGAACTTTCACTTCAGTCCCACGTGCGTTGAAACTAATAAGAATGGAAAATAAGAAATTGTCTATGATGAGCTGGATATGGCGCTGTTGAGCTCGTTTCTTTTCGATTAAGTTGGGCACACTTTCGATTGGTTTTCATATAAATTGTTCCAGAGACTATAACGATTATAAGAAATAAAATTAAATATTGCTCTATAATTATTACTGAATAATGGAAAAGTTGTTTTCGTATCGCGGGTCGATTATTTTAAGATGTAAATTATTTTCGTCTTCCCATAATAATTATATGGCAGTTTTATTTGTCTTCTCTTAATAATTATATGGTTCTTTTCTTGAAATGAATCTTCTCAATTGAGTTCGGAGATTCGACACATTAATTATATAACGCCATGATTGTTAATGCCATCAAATCTGTATCGTTCATTCGCTTTTCTGAAATGAGGTGTCAAATTAAAGGGCTTTGCTTTAACGTGGTTTTAGTTTTTTGAAAAGGGTTGCCAGATGTTAGCAAATCAAATTCCAATAATCGTGAAATCGGTAGTATATGTACCGTTTCTATTAAGAGAAAACGTGGGACGTAAATCATTGTCGTCTTAGGCTTTCTGCACATTGGTCGTCCAATCATAGTTGCTTCATCGTCACAATCATGATGCATGACGACTACACTTTCGCACACTCGGTCGGGATATTTCAATCCATTTGGCGTCTAAATATTCACTTGGAGCAGGTATTTTCAGTTTTTCTGGTCGATATTTACGCGAAATATTTACAAAAACCTGCAATTTTTAAAATATAGACTGTGCTGCAACAATTCTAGACATCATTTTTCAGTAATATCTCTTCTTATCTTTTCCTGAAAGGTGTTTTTTTGCATGCACACAGAGACTTTTTACAATGTCGTCATATTTTATTGTTAAAACGCTCACATTTATTGAATTTTAATGCAATTATCCATTTTTTAACAATTTCCACAGATTTTATGTAAAAAAACTATTTTTAATGCAAATAATGACTTTTTCACTAACTTTTCCCCATAAAATGTAAACAAACAATGCGTGCACAACGATTAGCAAACGACAGTGTCGTACTTATCCGTTTCTGCATCTTCCACGATCTGCCGATAACTATCCGATAACAACAAGTGTGCATATCTCTTTTGAAATACATGTGCTCGGCTCAAAATTTCAGGGTGAGACGATAACGCAACTTTGATTGGACGACAAGTGTGCAGATAGCCTTAAAATAAACGTCACGAGAGACGAGAAACACAAAAGTCCCACATACTTATTATGAGCAGACGTATATCATATCCGTCTTGAATATAAACGTCCCTAGAGACGAAAAAAAATAAATAAAAATTCCATATAATTATTATGAAAAGAGGTAAATAATTTCCTTTTTGGTTGTTGTTGTAAATAATTTCCATCTGAAAATAATCGTCCCGAGAGACGAAAAAAGATATTTCTCGTAAATAATTATTTTACAAAGACGATAAAATTTCTCTAAAGCAAGTTGACATTTTTGATCTCAAATACGCGATACAGCCAGAAAAATTGCAGAAATAATTTAAAACTAGCGATTGGTATGGAATAAAATTAAACAGAATTATCGCACGTTTAGTTGAACTATTCGACAAAATCAAACTCGTTACAAAATTGCATAACTCTTCGAAATAGGCAGTAATATTTGTATAAAACTTTTTGTAGTATTATTATAAATATTTAGGGTTAGATTTCCAAGTTTTCAATTGTAGAAATCATGTCTGCTTTTTGTTTAATCAGCTGAACTATCTGACGTGACGTTACCTGACATTACGTTACTAAAATTTCCGTTGAAAAAGTTTTGTTAATATTGTTATTGCACGAATTTTTAACGCGAAGATAACGTGCATTTTATGTCGGAGTATACTTTTTATTTGACACACCTAACGGGACCATTTTTGGCGAACACTTCTCTGCTTACATAACCAATATATACATATTACAAAAAGCAGCCAAATCGGCCTAGAAATAACTAGATATAGGACTTTTAATTTTTTTTTTGCTATAGAGTTTTCGCTGGAGTCGCCCATATACATTGTATATATTTTGAATCGGACAACAGTTTTTAAAATTATTAAAATGGTATTCTTCCTCGAAGGATTATTCACAACAAATTCTAGCTCATATTGTTCGTCAAACTATCGGCAGTTTATATTGTAAGCAACAATTTGTTGTCGTTGTTGTTGTAATATTTAAGAAGTCATGGTACTGTAAATATTTTACTAAACCGGTGCATATTCGTTTAAACGCACCTGAGTAAGGAGGTCGAGAGCATATTCGTGATTAAAAAAATTAAATCATTTTTTGGATTAAATTTACCATTGGTAAGTTGTTGATAATTCAAGTGCAACATTATTTTTAATGATATGCTTTTTAAGGATTTTTTAAAACGCTAAAAGTTAATTCGCTTAATAACATTAAAAATGTCAAAATAAATCGTACCGTAAGGGAGATTATTCAAATTGGAAAATTGGGTGAAGAATTGGAAGAGTGGAGGCGGTCATGCACTCCTTTACAAAAAAAAAAGTGTCAAAGTTATGGGATAAACATGGAAATTTTTTGGAAAACAGTAGAAAATTTCCTACGGTAATTCGCGTACGCCCGGCATCATTGCTCAAGATCTCCTCCGCAATGCACACAAAAAGAGCCCCCGCATTGTGAGGGAGAATTGTCACAGCATCGCTGATTGACAAGCAATCCACTCGTCCCCGCTGCCACTGGAAGTATGTATGTAGTTATGTATGTAGGTCGCAATCGCGTGGGCAGATGGCCGGCCCAAAAGAGCGCGCCTTAATGGAAGAAAATTGTATTTCATTACAATGGAAGTTTTTAATAGTTTATGAAACGCACACAAAGGTGAACCGGATGGGAGCTGTGGGTTGTCGCGCAGCCGAGAATTGGTTTCGCGTTTCGACAATCGTCCAAACAAGTGCGCCGCCGTGTTCCCGTTGTGCGTTAACGGATGTAGATGGCCCAAAGGGAAAGCGCGCGGATGTCAGTTCTCATTTCATTCATTTTATTTTAACCAGTTTTCCGTTTTAAATCATAGCCTTTATTAAATCTGCAGGCGCGTTTAAAGCGGATTTGAAGCGCCGAAGTCCCGATTACGCATCGCATGTGAAATTTTCTGCTGCTGGTAAACATTGGTGTGGCGACGTCCACGCCATGTATCGGAACTTGTAATTTCGTGCACAATTGTATTTATTTATTTATTTATTTATCATATTCGATTACGTTTCATCCCGAAGTACTTGATAATCAACATTGACTAACGATTTTCTTTCTCTGTTTTCCTTCCGCTTGCAGCACGTGGTTCAGGCCGGCGTTGCGCCATATCCAGGCGCTCCGGCTGGCTACCCACCGGCCGGGGCACAGGTGGGCACCACCAACCCGGATAGCCTCTCAATGGCAGTGGCGGCTATCAAAACTGAGTCCGTGTCACAAATGAAGCCCGAAGGTGGAACTGCCGCTTCAGCTGCCGCAAATGCAGCCACATCGGCCGCTGCCATACAGATGTACATGCAACAGAAGAAGGTAAGTGTGTGGGGCAGCTTCGTTAATGTGCATGCGTGAATGTGCCCAACCCTGGTGTGTGCTCTGAGAACGAAGTGGGCGAGTTGAGCTACTGTGCGCCTGTAAATATACACCGAATAACCTTAATTGCACGCACATAAATAGTACATTGCATGACCACTCGAAACTAATATCTGCCACCTTTGATCGCTTTTCACTCACACACCACCAAATACATGCTTACGTATATTTCTATAAATAGGCGTGAGTGAGTGAGGTAGAGCGCCTTAATGTATGTTTTTATTTGAGTTAGATTTAAAGCTGGGCAAAAAAAGTAAGTATTTGTGTATTCGTTGTTTGGATAAAAACCTCCAACCGCGGAAATCGTTTCTTTGTCAAAGAAATATTTAGAATAAATCCGCAATTCTCGTTCCGCTGTCTGACAACTGGCTCGCTTGTATGTCGCGCTGGAAAGCAAATTCAAAACTACTTGCCCAGTTTTTGAATATTGATTCCGATTTTGTGTCTGCTTAGAAAAAACTTAATCGAAATGAAGAGCCCCCTCTTTTATAATCCCGATGAATCAACATACATACATACATACATTTGTATTTTTATTTACTTACTTTAGCAAATTGCTCAAACATTGTACATTCTCCATAATATCTACCACCAAAAAATATTTTTTCACATGTCCATCACAAAAATGTTGTAAAGAAGGTTTGCATGCGGCTAATTCAGCATTTTTTTTTTTTTGCTTTTTTATTCAAAGTATAAGTTACAGTTAAAAACTTTTGTACGTATTTATTAGCGACTAATTTAACGAATCCAGGTGTCTGTCTTTATAGCATAAGAAGTATTCGTAAGCATTATTCTAGTACACAGTGCGACAGTCGTTTTTTTACCACACAGAAATCAACATCGCGCGAAACTAGGGGCCGAATATAGTAAAAAATTATTTTAAAATTTTAGTGCCATGTTGAATAACAATATGGGTACCAAATAAAAGAGAAAATTCTGTAGAATTTATTAAAGACCTATGAAGTATTACGACATATCGAGCCCTAACCGCCAAAATAACGTAAACGATTTTTTTTCAAAATTTTCTTTTTGATGCAGAAATGCATCTAGATGCTCTACGAATATTTCTGCATCAAAAAGAAAATTTTGAAAAAAGTGTCGCTTACGTTATTTTGGCGGTTAGGTAGGGTTCGATATGTATGTATATGTTAAGGACTAATCCTTGAATTTCGAGGTTTTACTATACATGGCTTCTGGTTTCGTGAGTATTTATATTGATTGTCTTGTGTGTTTAGAAATTTTTTGGTTTACGTCGCACGGTGTTATATAACTACGTATCTATAATGAAAGGCGAATTTCTTATTTGTAATTGTTGACATCATATTCATAGAATCGTAAATTTTTTAAAGTGAAATGCTCATCCCAAAAATTTCTACAAGCCAACCAGCAGTGGAAACTTCTTTAAACTATGTAATTTCGAAAGTCGATGGGCTTCAAAGAAATTAAGTGTTAAAGAAACCCGTGCATATATGTACGTATAAACCCAAGGGGTAACGGGATAATTTGCTTGATGTGAGAATACTGCAGTTGTAAGATCTCAATGAGAGCTGCTATTTTCCATGCAACTTTTCCAATTCGAATTGCCACGAATAGTTTAAAGCTATTATCAGCCAAGTCGCTGTAGCCGTTCTCAAGCGTTACTCTTACTAACGACATTTACGCAATTTGTAGGTACACATATATGCATATCCCTGCAGAAAAAAATTATCAATTGATAAAAAATAGCCTATATATAGTTTTAGCTTTTATTCGGGATTTCGATAAATGCCTAACTTTTAATTAGCTATGGACAAAACTAAATTTAAGTGAGTTGCAAAGTCCTGCAGGAGTCATGCAGATGTTACCGGGAGTTTGTTTTCCTTAAACAAGCTTCTATTTAAATATGCTCATACAAAAATTGCTTTGAATGCTCTTTTTTCTGCACTTCACATATGTTTTCTCGAATGCACGACAAATAGTATAAAGATCGAAATTTCATATTATCATTTTGATGTTATATGTCTGATGGAGTTCAAATATGGGACCACCTACAAAAGAACATGTAAACAAAAAAGCAAACTTGTAAAGTTAAATAAAGTAAATAAATAAAAAATTAAAAGAAATATTTTTTTATTGATATTTTACGTCCAAAAGAGGGTAACTACAAGTTAGCTAACCAGTTCTAAATTTTGGCCATCGCCCTTCAAAAGTAGTTAGTCACGGCCGAGGAAAATAAGTAACAAAAGGCTAAAACTAGTCGACTGCTGGGTAGTTATAAGTTAGCTATAAACTGGCCCAGTTTCCTGCAGGGATGCTTATAGATTTATGTAAATACATACAAATGTATGTATGTATAGGTCCACTTGTTCAAATTCACATACTTATTTCAATATTTTCGCATAACAACAAAGCAAGTTCGAATGCCATATTCGTTTATCTCCTAAAGTGACTCGGATCACTCGGTGTCCGATAACCTTCAAGAGTTGCAAATTCCAATGTCGCTGCTGATAAGCGGAGGCTCCCTTTTTCCACTGCTGTTGGCCATTGTTGAACGGATTAGCTACTTAGCGGGTAGTTCGGTTAGTGATAAGCAAAGTGCCACGCATGCCACACCCATCGAAACATTTATGTATGTATATTGGTGTAATCGCATATATGAATAAACAATAAAAAATGCAATAAACATTTTAGCTTTTGTATTTAACTTTGATATAACGAATTGTTGGTGTTGGTGTAGTTCGAAGGCAATTCTAAAAATAATTGATTTTCTTATTCTAATGATGCAAAAAAAACAAAAAAAAAAAACACAAGAAGTAGAAATCAGTTCAATGAAACTTTTAAATCTGACATACATAAATGCTAAAACTGAATAAACGTTCAACCCAATTCTCCCGCAGACAAATCTGCCAACGGCATCATCACAGTTCAACGGCTGCAACAACACATCCATCTCAGCGGCCACAGCAACAACTACGACGACAGCGGGTATCGTGAATTCGCCTCTGCTAGGCGGCGTTCCTGCGCAACAACACAATGGCGGCCTTGGGATCGCGCTTAGCAATGGGCTGTCGGCCGCCGCCATGAATGGTCTTGAGCACAAACACCAACAGCACCAGCACCAGCACCAGCTGCACCAGCAACAACAGTTGCAAATGCTGCAGCATCACCGATCTCATCCTCACTTCAGCCACCAAATGCACCTGCAGCAGACACAACAGCAACCCCCGCAGTCACAGCCACTGACGCCGGCAACGACTCCGACTCCGACTCCGACTCTGACTCCGACGCCAAATTTGACGCTGGCGTCTTCGCAGGCCCAGTCGCAGCCGCAGCCGCAACCGCAACCGCAACCGCAAAGTATTGTTATAGTGAGTGTTGTTGCTATAATAGCAAAGAATCGCACAAGGCATTGCTGTGCGCGCATCGGCCAAGTGCCTGCCTGCCGCAGATGATGCCTTATGCCACACCTGTCACCTGTCACACATCCACGTACTAGTACGCAAGTTCTCTTTGCATCCACGCTCGTGCTCATGTAAACTATTCGTATTCGTACTTAGCTACTACTACTACTACTACTACATACATACATATATATATATGTATATATATATACTATATATATGTATATATATATAAAATCCAGTTGAATTAAAATTGAATTGATTAAAAATTAAATGGAATGGAATGATATGGAATGGAATGGAATGGCATTACTCGTGTTGTGTCCTTTTTACTAGCGCCTAAAATGCTGCTGCGGCTATATATTTTGCCACTGCAACAACAAAAAACTGCATCCCCCGCATAACTTTTTCATTACTCGTATTTGTAACTGTAATTGTATTATAACTGTATAACGCATATGAAAATTGTACCCAAGCATCAAGCATAGCATACTTTAGGGGTCTGACTGTCATGCATCTACTTTGGTTTTCGGTTTCACATTTGGTTTCAGATTTGGTTTTGGTTTTGGTTTTGGTTCGTGAATTTTCCATTTGGAGCGGGCTTGTGAATTGAGTTGTAATGTTTTCCCGTACAAACGACTTATTTATTGTATGACTTATAATATGTATGAATGAAAAATATAATGAAATTACAATATAATAAATAATAACCAAAGCCTATAGTAGTCACACAAAATTGTAAATTATGATAGACACACATACGTACATTTATAAATTATAGGTATGTGTAATGGAGAAATGATGTTGTTGCACTCAACTGTTGAGCCAGATTTATTTGTAGCTTTGCTTTTCCAGTTAATTTCATCATTTCACAGATACGCATTTGTTGCTAAGTTTCCACTACATATTTTAAAGTTTATTCACGGCGTTGGTGTGTTTGTTCTGGTCAGGACATACATACATACATGAACATAGCAAACAATTTGTACAGACACGCAAGTTTTATCATTAATATGTATGTATATATAGTATATATGCAATATGTTTTTTTAATTTTTTTTTAATAATTGGTGCAGGGTTTTTTGCATAGCTGCATATGTACGACAGTAGTATGTGTTGCCAATAGCTAAGTTTCCTTTTGTTTTGCATGAAAATATATTGTTTACCAAAAAAATTATCAAAAAATCATAATTTCGTACAGAACTTAAAACAAAAAACATAGCCAAATTGAATGTTTCTTTAAACCACTTTTCAACTGATGTAGTCTTAATCGAGCGGACGTCATTCAGAATTATAAGTGCAATGGCTACTAAACAGATTTTATAAGTGAAAGACAATAACTAGAATTAGGCAAATTCCCGAAAACATTACAGCAGCTGGGAAGTATTTCTGCTTTAACTAAATATATTAACTAGCGCTTAGGTGTCTGGGCAAATCGGGTATTACTCGGGTTAGGTAACTACCTGCGTAGGCTATGAGAATGTTTTTCATGCACTGAAGGAAGCACACACTGCGGTAAAAAATAAAAAGAAAGCAATGCCGATAAAGATTTCTGCAATTGTGAAATCGTCGCTATTACCTTGAAGTTGGCTCTACATTATAGTTATTCACCCTAAGAGAGAAAATTCTCATTTAAATAGGTGCGTTTGTTTGAGTTATATAATCGCAAATAAGATTATTTTTACGCTTTCTACACTTGTCGACGCTTCGAGCCCTCGTCAATCTGAAGACAAATTTTGCGTCGTTTACATGCTTTTACAGCAGTTTTCTTAAACGGGTTTTAAAATTTATCTGCCCTTTAGAGACATACATATTTTGTTCTGAAAAAATGTGTTTTTGAAGGGAAGATAAATTTTAAAAGCAAAAAAGAGACTGACACTTATCCCCAATGTCACCAATCCATTTCAAAATTTATCAGACTGTTAAAATTTAAAATTACAAATTTTCTGAACAAAATTGTGTCAATTATATTTTAACAGGCTGATAAACTTGAAATTGATTGGTGCCACCGGGCAGTTTCTTAGTAACTATTTGTTTAAATATTTGTTTTAATTGTTGTAAAATTTAAAGTTGCAAAAGGAATTTGTATGTATGTACATTAGACTGCATCACCAAAAAAAGTTGCGGTTTTTCCGCCGGGATTACAAAATTTATTATATTCTAAGACGTTCACCAAAATATTTGGGAAAAATATTAAGATTTAAGCGAGCTGGACCGATTTGAAAATTCCTCCAAAAATGGAGTTTTTTTATGAATAAAAATAGTTTCTTAAAGAACTTTTTGAAAAAAGTCCCCTCAGATGACAAAACAGATTAGGCTTAAAAAATCTGCATAAAAAGATTTAAAAATCTTTTCAACGGAATCGTATAATGAGATTTTTGATGCTGTTTTTTTTTCACTTTTTTTCAAAGATGAATATACGAAAAACTTAAATAACTGGGCCAAAACTATTCTGATTTAGACTTATGGGATCTCGGTAGAAAGGTATTTTCCCACAATTTTTATTTATGTGGAAAACAAAGTCATTGGTATCCCTTTTTTTTTTCAAATATCAGCACATCTTAATTCAACTTTGAATGATGCTCGTTCATCCTACCTTTCTCTTTCATCCGTTGAATGAGCTTACTAGCAAAGAAATAAAAAGGGTGAGAAAATACCTTTCCAATTATACCTCACAAGTCTAAATCGGAAGAGTTTAGGTTCAGTTATTCAAGTTTTTCTTATACCAATCTTTGAAAAAAGTTAAAACCAGCGTCAAAAGTCTCATTATTACGATTCCGTTCAAAAATTTTTATTTTATTTTATTTTTTTTATATTTTTATGTAAATTTTTTAAACTTAGACCGTTTTGTTATTCGAGAGAATTTTTTCAAAACACATCTTTAAGAAAATATTTTTATTCATAAAAAAACTCCATTTTTGGAGGTATTTTCAAGACGGGTTCAGCTCGCTTAAATCTTATTATTTTTCCGAAATGTTTTGGTGGACGTCTTAAAATAAAACAGATTTTATAATTCCAATGGAAAAACAGTATCCGATTTTTTTAATTTTGTATGGGGAGTGATGCAGTCTAATGTACATATGTATTTACTCAAATTAATCCAGTCACAAATCTTATTCAATTCTTGTCTATTTCAAAGTAATAAAATTATCTGTATAATACCGCTATGTTTATTTAGTATCTCACACTGAATAAAAAAAATGAGAAGTTTCCAAAATCGACTTTTCAAGGGGCAGTATGCTACTTAAAATAGCTTTTACATGCCTTTGTCCGTTTACGAAAAATGCATTTACATGTCTCGTTTGTTCCTAATGCCGGTGTCTGCATATACATACATACATACATATTTGGTATGTAATGCCTAACCAGTACTACAGCAGAGAGGAAACTATCGACCAATCTGCTACTACGGCATAAGTCTCCTCAAAGCTCCATTCTTCGGCCACTCCAGGTTCCGAGCTTCAACAGGCAATTTACTGTAGCAGGTAGATACATACTGCATATTTGTCCATTGCACTGAAAAAGAATCTGTTATTGTTATCTTTCATTAACACGTCCACAGCTAGTGGGCGACCGCTAGCGATTCAAATAACAGTACATCTTGGTAACTACGGTGACTTGTCGTATGTCTTTTGCGTTCATTCGCTGCTCTAGCGGCGTCCTTTGCCATTTCCATTTCAATTTACTGAGATAAAAGCCACTTCCGCAGCTGTTCGCCATATTTTCCAAGCTGCTATTCGGAACTCCGCATCTGCTCTTCCCTACATTCATTCTATGCATTTTGATTGTTGTTGTTCCCCAACATATGCTGCTGCTATTCGCTTAGACTTTGTATTTGTGTTTTGACTTTGGGAAACAATAGTTTCAACTGGAGCATTTATTGCTGGACGACTACAACACGACGGGTTTTTCACTATTCTTTCCTATTTGTTTATTTGGAAAGTGCCACCTATTGACACACACACACGCATGAGTATGCATAAATATGTATGCAGATGTGAATATAAATACATCCATATGTAGATGAGGTAGGACACATTCCATGGTTGCAATGAAAACGGAAGGGAAAAAAGCGCGGAGCAGCAACTTTGACTATGCTTGGCGAAATCGGAAATGGAATATGCATAGATGTTTCTGTTTTGCTACAGCTGTACAGTTTAAGCGCTAAAATTTCAAATCATAAATGTGCAGGCAGTGGGCACTCTGTGGGGTCAGGCCAGTTGCTTATTGTCGAGTAACAGAAAGGTATATACAAATATGGATGGAGTATGTAGGTATTTTATTCACCCAACACTTCGGACGTTCGAACATACATACATATGTATTTACATATGTTAAAGTAAGTGTCGGTTGAGAATTAAATTTAAAAAAAAAGATATCATACCGCGCCACGTAAAGTGGAGCTTTAAAAACTATGGCCCGTAGTTATAGAAAAGTTAGAGGCAGGTTCGGTGTTCATTCGAACGGCATGGCCAGCCAGCGGAGTCGCTGACTTTAAATTCGCTGCACTATGCCCATGTCGTTTCATCGTTTGCGGTACTCGCCGTCGCCAAAGCATAAAGGCCCGTAAATCTTACCCTAAATCTTTCTCTCGAATACTCCGAGAGCGGCCTCATCGAATGTTGTCATGGTCGAGAGAGGACTTTACTCCTGACTTGCCTACTCAGCCCAAGTGATTCTGTGTTGGATGTCGATGCTATCGGCGTTAATGCGGGTTCCCAAGTAAACGAAATTCTCTACTTTCTCGAAATTATAACTGTCAACAGTGACGTGGGTGTTTGAAGATAGGAGATACTTCGTCTTGTCTATAGCGCTGTTATAGTCATTTTAAAATACTTTTCTTCTTAACAACGGGGTTCTTAGTTTAAAATGGCATTAACGGGGTTTTAAATTTTAAAAGCCTGATCTAAGTTAATTTTTGTTGTCAAAATTAAAAAAAAAATCTCTAAATCTGAAAAGTTTATACA